CCGGCCCAGCCGCAGCCTCCAGCACATCCACATTCCATAGGCGGTACGCTCACGAGCCCAAATGCGGCGCTGCGCTCCTCGCGCTCCTTTCGCGCGCCTGAGAAGAGCGTGGGCGGATAGACTAGGACATTCGTGAGATCCAACCCCCTGCTTCGCGTGTTCGGAGGACGGGGTAGCGACGCCGCGCGCGCGAAGAACGCGTCAATGAAACTGGGCCCGGCACCACTGCTCGATCTAGACATGTCACTCGCGGGCGTAGTGGGGAGCTCCACGTCGCCTGACGCGTCAACGCAGGTCCCACAGCCGTCGTCGCAGTCCCTGGAGTCCTTCGACGCGTGGTCCCCCCCGCGATGTTGCGTGCATCCTGGGCAGGCACACTGCAAACCGCAACAGCACCCTGACCCGGCCAATGAGGCAATTGCGCTGAGTGGTGGAATTACCGGGAACTCGGGCATCGACGAGCCGGAGGCGAACGCCGCATGCAAGGACCTGGTGCCAAGAATCGGGGGTAGTTCTGGACCTTTTGTCGGTGGCGATAGGTGACAAGGGGATGAAGCTATAGAAGACCTGAGTGACTTGTGCGGTTTGTGTTCTGACAACCCGCGCGGTGCCGGAGAGCGCTCGGAATGGCGCTCGAGCGGCTGCGCTCGGCGCTTTGCACGTCGTTCAATAGAGTGTGAGCCAATATCAGAATCGATCAGACAAGATTGGGGGGAGGGTGGAAGGTCACGCTCGTGCGTGCTGCATAGGGCTGCGGCTTGCGCCAGAGCGGCCAGGCCATCACCAAGAGAATGGACAGTGTGCGGAGATGCGCCCCTGTGACACGCGCCATCAACAGTGATACGACATGTGCAGCCCCGTGCGTCGTCGCATTGGCACGAGGTGAGATGGGTATCCACTAGAATGCAGAGAATTAGTAAATGCGCGATGCTTGAGCGGAAGTAATGCGAAGCATACCCAGAGCCCCCGACTCCGCTGATACTGCTGTGATGGACTGGACAGGTACCATATCCTTCAACCCATTAGGCAACGCAGGCGCAATGGGCTTGAATCTACGCGCTGGAATTGAAGGGTAGATGAGCAAACGTAGACAGTAGACAGGAGAAAAACATACGCTTGGAGGAAGGCGAAATGGCTGACGAGCTTGCCTCTGCTTCTCCAGCGAATATATCCCTTCTTGGTCCGGACGAACAGTTGCATTTATTATGCATGCGCTTTGTTTTCCGCAGCTCCCGACATTTCTCGCATTGCGATACAGGCCTGCCCTTCTTCTTAATCTCGAAAAGCGGTCGGTCGGTATGCTGACATGAAGATGAGCGATGGCCCTTGATGCACGACTCGCTGAATAAGATGTCAGCGCAGTGTAGAGGGGGTCAGGAGCATGGTAACCTACCATGCGAATTTCTGATTATCTACAAATACCTAACGGGTAGATTGTTCGGCAAGGTCGATGGCAACTGAATGCAGTCAGGATACTTACCATTATCAGTCTCTTCTTGACAAGGAGGGGGATGTGGGTCTGGTCTTGAGATGTAGCAGGGACAGAAGCGATAAATACGAGGGCAAGCGTGCCAAGGGGATTTTCGGAATCCGAACCGGACGGGTACTCAGCGTGACATTGTCACGCTGAGGCAATTACGGCATGCGCAACGAAGTGTCACGTTGCGCGGCATTTGCCGTTCGTCCATCTGCTAGGTCAATGTCACACTCTGCAAACTTGGACCAGCTGAGAGCTAGAGTCGACACTCTTGGTATTCCATTTTTCCACGTTCTCTGGCAAGGAGCTATCCCTGAAATTTATTCTACCTCGAGTTAAACGAGGAATCAATATCGACTAAACAACATACTTGTAAGAACAGCAACATTAAATGCTTCCGGAGTAGTCGTGTATTGGTCTATCGCGAATAGTTGTACTTCTTTGATGAATTTGGTAGGTTATTTGTAGAGCGCGCGAGAAAGCATGCTAGCGGCCGATTAGCATCAAACGGCGCAAATGCCTCGCATCCGCGCAATGCCAAAACGTCTGCTCGGCTGTGCGTCAGTGGAACTTCCACAGCACCTTGGTATTCATCAAGACTTTCGGCAGCGATTAAGTTTCAAATCGTGCGTGAAAATTGCGAGCCCGTGCGGCATAGCTATGCTGCCTTGTGGGAAATCGCAAATGATTATATCCGTCTGCCAAGCGTGATGCCCGTTCGCTGAAGACGTTTATTAGAATGGAAACTCTAGACATAATACATTATGTTCTTTGAGCGAGTTATTGGGTGTGCGCCGGACTAGTGGGGCATACTAGCCGCGTTCAGACCGCTCGTCTTGGAATTTCCTAAAACTGTTTGGGAAGAGCAGCACTCAGTTATGCATCCACATACCGCACATTTCATTCCAGAGTGTTCATCTTCCTGTGAAGATAAAGAGTGCTATCGTAAGAACGGGCGTCCAATACGCACACAGCTGCGATCCTAGTAGTACGTACACACGAATTCCCACGCACAAATGCCTCATGAAAACTACACCTTCCTAAAGTAGAATCCTGATCGGTAAAGGAACGTGAGCGCCCATCACGTGTGCTGACGCTGTCCAGATTGGAACGTTTGCTGCGCTGCCAGAACTACGGAGCGAAGTCGGGTGGGGGTCGAAGGCCTAGCAGCTGCGCTTTGGGATCTGTGTGGTACTAGAGGTGTATAAATTCTGCGGTTTTCCAGCACTCTCTGAATCCGACATCTAACCCTCTAGCTTCTTCACAATGAAAGGCCGTCGACGAAATCGGAATGTCTCTTCACGAACGGGAATATTTGACCCCGAGGATGTCAAACGAGTCAAGCACTCTACTGTCGGGGTCTGGGACTTGTACGAAGAAAAGCCGCAAGTGCTTGGATTTCAGTTTCCAGGCTCATCGCGTCTCGAACACTACCTGGAGATGTCCCGCAGCCTCCCGTATGTTTGGAGGATGATGAAAGACATATCGCGAGTAAAAAACTGCTGGTTCCTGCTGACTCTGTATATTGCTGTCGAGCTCGGGAGCGCTGTCCTCCCTGCTGCTTCTTTATGGTACGCATGCTCAGAATGGCGTGACGCTAGCAGCGAGAGTGCTGACCGATCACACGAACTAGGTATTCCGGACAGTTGCTGCACATTGTACGCCGTCGCTTCATGTGCTTCACATCGCTAATTGTATAGCTCAGGTGCAAACAGCTGTGGACACAAGAACCGTTGACACGAATCTGTTGATGCGAATCTCGTTCGGTCGTATAGGTTGCGCTATTGTTATCCGGTTGCTTTCTTTTGCGAAGAGTGCGATATCATATCCGCTCATCGCTCGCCTCAAACAGCACTATTCAGTGCATTTATTTCATGCACGCGCTAGGCTCGATCTGCCAACATTTGAAGACCATGCAGTACAACGACAGCTAGAAGCAGCAAGCGCTTCCTCACGTGGTGGTATTGCATGGGACACATTCTCCATGGTGTCATCCGCTGTTATGAGCGCTGTACAGATCATCACACAACTATCTGTCCTCATGGCCATTTTGCGAGAACAGCTCGATGGACCGCTGCTGGCAGCAATCGGCCTCTCTCATTCAGTATTTGAATGGCTGTTTAGTACCAAGTTTCTCTCGTTAGACTCACAAGGTTCGATTCATGCCGCTCACGAGATACCCGTGTCGTCTGATGAATAGTCTACAGTATGGGCCGCCACAACAAGGAATCAGGACTACATCAAAATGCAAGGTATGAAGCGGCTTGTGAGTAATCCAAAACACCGCAAGGAATTTGTCGCTTGTAATTTAGAAGAATTTTGTACAAAACGTGAGCTTGGATTGAATAGACACTTACGGATATTAACGTCCTCGCCGCGCTTAGAATTCAAAGAATTCACCGATCGAGTGGGGGACAAGGCTGGTGATTTCATGGAGGTTTTGCGAGAGCAGCGATTTCGCGACAAATTCTCTGTAGTATCACTCATGAAAGAACCGTGGCGCGCTCTGCCTCAGGTATGAATGACGTCTAGATGTCTTTGGCTTGATTATTAAATCTGTGAAATGTGTCATTGGTAGATTGTGTTCACACTCCGCGCAGTGCAATACCCATCGTCAATACCTGTCTCCCTCGCCTCGCTCAACCTTATACAACAGACGACGGACAGTTTCGGCTTCACCGTCTTCCGTTTCATCTCCCAGTTTGGGTCGATCGCAGATCAACTTGCTACTGTGCGGAAATTATACGACATTGTCACTATCCCGAATCGCATCCAGGACGGAACAGTTCCGTTCCCTGAAGACACACAGAAAGTCAAGGCAGGGATTTTAATTGAATTCAGGTAACCATAACTTTCCAGTCCGACTACTGTACTTGTTAACTCCTGCTCTACTTCACTCGATAAATTACGAAAAAAAATGTTTAGAAATGTGTCATTCCGTTATCCGGGCACAGACGCTTATGCCATCAGGAACGTGTCGTTCAAGCTTTCATCAGGACAGCTCTGTGTACGTTTCTCGGAGCCCTCATCTTCGCGTGCGTTAAACCGTTTTGCCAGGTAATCGTCGGTTCGAACGGATCTGGAAAGAGTACGATCCTCAAACTCATCGTACGCCTGTACGATGTCGACGAGGGCGAGATCCTCATCGACGGGCTGGACATCCGCACGCTCAAACTCGCTGACCTTAGGCGCACAGTATCTGTGCTCTTCCAAGATTACACACACTTCCCTCTCTCCGTCCGTGCCCCCCTCCCTCATCGACCAACGTACAGATGCTAACGACGGTATACAGATCCGCGACAACATCGCTCTCGGTGACCCCTCTGACAGCGTAAGCGACGAGCATGTCCGCCTCGCCGCGAAGCTCGGCGGCGCCGAGGAGTTTATTGAGAAGCTCCCTGAGGGGTTCGACGCATACCTCGAGCGCCCCGTGAACGACTATTACTCTGGCCTCCCCGAGGGCACGCGCAAGCTGTTCGGGCGCCCAGTCGACTTTGGTGCGGTGCGGTTTGCAGGGGGCATCAGCGGGCAGAACGACGTGGAGCTGAGCGGCGGCCAAATGCAGCGCCTCGCTGTGTGAGTCTCGTTTCCTGACCTTGGTTATCTCACGGCGTGCTGAACGGAGCCGGCCGGCAGCGCGCGGTCGTTCATGCGGTCGATCGTCTCTGAAGACTCGGCGGTCGGGCTGTTGCTCTTTGACGAGCCGAGTGCATCCTTAGACCCCACTGCGGAGCATGGTGCGTTGAGGGGACATTGTCCATATCAACTGAGCCAACCTTTCTACTGTAGATTTGTTCGCACGGCTGCGCGAGCTACGGGGGAATAAGACAATGGTGTTCTCTTCTCATCGTTTCGGCAACCTGACTAGACACGCAGATTTGATTCTGTGAGTCTAAATCGTTTGCTGGCAATGTCTTCAAAGCGGCTGTGCTGACAATCTTTAGATACATGAACGACTCTACAATCGTGGAGGCCGGCACACATGACGTGCTGCTCAAACGTCAGGGAGAGTATGCAAGAATCTGGAATCTACAGGCACAAGCCTTCTTACCTTGAGTATTCCTGCATGCTGTTGATTGGCTATATCATAACGCAAGAACCTTAGAGCTCCTCTATTTGGAATATAACGACCCCTCATGCTTCATATCGTGTCGTTCCTCATGTACATGTATTATTTACGACCTTCGATGGTGATCTAGATTGCAACTTGACCTTACGCTCGGGGTGCACTTGTGTGAGTGGTGGTACAATTGATGATGGATTGTAATATATCCTGGGGATGTGTGATCTAAGGGCATGATATAGATACAGTGGGTAGGTGGGCAAGTCCATACAGGACATGAAATCATACTCAAACGGACATGTACTGTGCCATGCTGCAAGACCAAAATGAACATCAACTTTTTCGAGCGAAGGGCGCCCTCACCTCGAATCTTTTTTCGAGTTGTCGCTAGAGAGCCGTTTTTCTAATTTCGCAAACTCGTCCAAGGCGATGGTCTCTTCTTGGTCAAGGATCTAAATCACTATGTGAATAAAAGATATGGCTGTCATTTTGAAGTAGGAACTTGCCTGCTCCACTCCCTTGACCTCGGGAATGTAGTGCATAAGCATACGCTCAATACCTGACTTGAGCGTTACGGTGCTCGAGTCACATCCTCGACAGCTCCCCTTAAGCTTGACCTCCACGATACCGTCGTCTGTGAATCCTCGGTACTCAATGTCGCCTCCGTCCTCCATGATGGCAGGTCGTACACGAGTCTCAAGCAGCTCCTTAATCATCGCTACAGTCTCCGAGTCGGTGTCGAGTATCTGCGTGTCTAGTGGCCCAGCGGCGTCACGGTCTTCTTGCGAGCGGAAGAGAGGCTGAGAAGATGAGAAGAACTCCATGAGAATTGAGTAGATCTCGGGCTTCACGACCGCCCATGCCGTCTCAGAGTCCTTGGAAACGGTGACAAAGTCAGGGCCATAGAAGACAGTAGTAACGCCTTCAATGCCCATGAGGCGAATGGCCAAAGGGGATTTAAGAGCAGATTTTGTGTCCAAAAACTCCGCAGTTCCATCTTCCATGACTGGTACGCCAGGAACAAACTTTAGTGAATCGTCGTTGGGCGTAGTCTCAGTCTGGATGAACATGGAGCGATCTGCAAAATGATGAGTACAACGCTATTCAACATATAAATTCAGCACACATTGCAAGGGTCTCTCCATGCTTGCAATTGTCCTTGCATGATGGGTGGAGTAGAATGTAGCCAAGGTCGTCCCATGGTGTAGACTTGCTGAGCATGGTGCGGTTCTTGACAGATGTCTCGTCGATGTTTGGGGCAAGCTTGAGAGTCGCTTGCTGCGATGTCGCAGTACGTTACGAGCAGAATTTGAGAGAGAACGCAGAGAAGAGGATGCTGAAGACATTTTGGAGATGGTGAGCGCAGCGGCGAAGGAACGGCGCGTCGGACTGTCGTCGGGCCTTGGGGATGAGGTAACGCAATGCGGTCACGTTACCGCATCCTAAACGGGTCGCGTCGATTTCGATTCTTGGCGTCTCTCACCTGTGGCTCTCTTCAACTCGTGGAGTTCACGAGGACGAACGGCCCCAAATGGCATTGTTCATCTCATTGTCAGCTCTTCCACAGACCAGAGGGCAGGGCTATAGCCTCGGCTTCAGCTGCTTCTCATCCTCCGTGGACTCTTTCAACTGCTACCGGCAAGTCTTGAAGCAGAGCCCCTCATCATGTTTTCTCTCAGCTTGAAAATTCCTCAAGTTTCCGTCTCGTCCTTTCTGGACCAGCTCTGTCCTCAATTGTGCGAAGGGCTCAATGTCGATGAAATCATCGGGAAGTTGAAAGAGGGCGAAAACGCATCTATGACGGGAGGTGGCACATGGCGAGACTTCTTTCAGGACACTGAAGACCAGGACGCTGCTATGAACTCGCTTGGACGTCTGTTTAATGCCATCATGGACGCAAGCGGACTGTCGAATCGACCATTTCTTACTTTCCAGCAGGACAATGAAATATTCTACGCTAGCAATTATGCGTCGTTGTTGCGTCCCAATGCTTACTTTGCCTGGAGAAATGGTGCAAGAGTAGACTCTCACAGCTACTGGATCGGAATTGGCCTTCCTGTTGTTTTCAATATGTACGATCAGGATGACAGTGACGTGAGTTCCAATGAGATGGTTCACGTGCGACGTCGATTCACTATTTCGCAGTGCATACGCAGAATGTTATGGAGCTTGTTTCACTGCATTCATCAAGATTCTAGTCGAAAGTTTGCATATGGAATAGCTTTTGACCACACAGACATGAGAATCTGGTTCGCATCACGCTCAGATATCTTAGTCACCAAATCATTTGATTTGTTGCAAGTGAGTAATATTTTTGTGCACCATGTATGCAGTATTCAAAGTATTTTGATAGGATCATAGTGTATTCGTTCGAGTGATGTTGGCGTTCGCGTATGCGCAACCCTATGAGCTTGGCTGGGACTTCACGGTACTTCCTGACCTCTATAGCGATTGTGCATTGATGCGCGGGTGTGGCAATTTGCATGGTTTTCCTATAATTACGTTATTGGTCGCGAAAGATGGTGATCAGGCTAACCATCGATACCAGAAGACGCGGACTCTTGCTAACATTGGGCAGCATCTTATGAATACCTATGCTTGGGAGTCGCAAGATTCAGATGTTAAACATCAGTGTCTAGGCTCGGCCATACTCCTTAAGGGGCGCCATGCTCAGCGCACCAGGAATTCAAAGTGGGAAGGAGGCCTGATGCAAAAAGCCCGCAACGTATCAACCGATCCAGTTCTGCATACGCTTCTTGATCAGCATATAACGGCCACGATATATCAAGGGCGCCTGTCTATCCATGAGGAAGTTGACGACACCCCGCTCTTGAAGGACAAATTCGACAACATGCGCTCTTTGTCCGTTTGCGCTCCTTCTGCATTCCAAGAATCTAGGGCTCATCAGCGAATCGTGATGGAGCCCAACTGGAAGCCGCTCGACTCCAGCAATTCATTGACGCACATATTTGCAGGACTCGCAAAAGCAGCTCATTGTAAGGCTTGAATACACTGTATGGTTGTCCGCCATGCTAACATCTTTGTAGTGTTGACTGTCTTGCACTCGTTTGATCGCCTCCACGGAGATGTTTGTCCGGCAAATATTTTGCTGCATGATGACGATGCTGTACTACTGGACTGGGAGAAATCAAGGGTGACTCGAGCCTTGAAGGAAGAGTTCGGCCTCCTGTGATGCTTAAGAAAGGCGGAAGGATTGCATTACGCTTTGTGCTTATTGTGATTGGGAGATATGTGCGTAGATGTTGTAAGACAGCCACCAGAATATGACACTTTCATTAATTCTAGTGGGGGACAAGCACGCCTCCGATATTCCTCATACTGCTAACACGTTGTGTAATGAACACTACGCTTCAGTGTACCGTTTATCAAACAATTCGATTAATTATGCATACCGCAAGTGGTATGGGCAATCAGACGTTGTTCTTACACGAGCATGCTAATTGTATTGGTCGATTCTCTGGCCTCGAGCTCATTTCGGGTAACATGCGAGAAAGGTCGAGACATGCAATTACAGAACTGTCAGCGGGAAAGGGAATACGAAGGACTACCTTACGAGAAATTCTCCGGTTGCTGTGTTGTGATGCGATCTCGAAGATGAGCTGTCGATTGACATATCACCCCCCCTTCTTTTGCAACTTCACGGTGCCTTCAAGTCTTTGAGCTCCGAGTCTACGTAGTAGACTCGATCGACAATCCGAGAATAAGACTTCTCATTGATAGGCGAGCTGAACAGCCTTCGCCCTTGGTCAACAAGCGACGCGTGTGGTATACGTGTTCATACAACGGAGACCAGATCCGGTCACCTACTGCGACTGCGAGTATACGGAGTCTTGCACAGAGTCTGCGGGCAGGTGCGACATGACCTTTCCAGGCCGTGCTCGGATATCACACTCGAAGGGCGCAGCGTGCCTTTGTATGACATCAATCCTCTGTTCACACAGTGCGCTTGGATGCTCGTACCTCACGCTGCCAGATTTAAATGCTGGCACGGGCGAGATCTCCTCTCCCGTCCGATTGCGCGCCTTGCGCACATCCAAAGCGGACAAGATGCCCACCATCACAATCCAAATGCTGCTGTCGGCGAAGTCGCACCCGGGATGCGACCTATGCGATACCGTAAGTTGGACTACGCACCTGTACGCCGAATGCCGGAACGCACCGTTTGCCAAAGCCGAATATGTACTTTCGCGGGTCGTGCAGTGCGGTCTGTCCGTGAGCCAATTCAAACCTCTCGGGAAGAAACCGCTCTGGGTCGGGATAGACGTCTGTGCGGCGTGTCATTGCCCTATACAAATACCATAACTATCGCCACGAATGTGGTTTCGGTAAGCATGCTCACCAGATATTGGTTATGATCGTAGACCCCGCGAGAAGATGATATCCTCTACATTCATCGTTCTCTACGAGCCGATAGGGTACTCCTAAATGGTTCTCGTTGGTTATCAATAACCCAAATTCTAGAGTATCAGAAACAGACCAAATGGAAGTGGACAGCCCCACCTGCCACGGAGTTGCTCAGACGGCCGAATCTGATCGCGCGCAGAGTGGAATGACACACCGGTATACTTCTCGCAGCACACATTCGACATAGGGCATCGACAGTCTGTCGTCGAAGTTGGGAAGCCGTAAGTGTCCCGTGACTCGGTCTACTTCTGCTTGGGCCCGGAGGAAAACATCGGGATGCAGGACCATCGCAAGGACGAATGTTGACAGCGCTGTGACGGTCTTTATGCTACGATTGGTCAATTGTATGCGAGGAAGAAAAAGTACAAACCACATCAGTCGCCACCGGGCCTCCTGCGTCGAGGACAGTTGTGACCGTCGATTCAGAGAGTTTTACGAATTTGCTGTCAAGTGCTGTCACCGTCCTCCCATAGCATAGGTCCATCATCAATGCGGCGGCATAGCTGAGAGCAACTGAGATTAAAGTGATGTAGGGGGTGATAACCATTTGATTCCACCGACCGTTTAAAACGCGATATGAACGCACAGGGTTCCTTGGATTCCTCACATAAACTGCCCAGCAGAGTCCGCGCTTCTCTTAGAAGGAGTGGGTGGAAGTGCTGAACCGCAGCTGTTCTTCGGATAGCTGTCTGGAACCATTTACAATGGCGGCGCCATTGATTTCCACAGGAAAGAAACGTGGGGGTCGCGGCCATCTTAATCCTAAATTGGCGGATTGACTATCAGTGTCATCGCGCGAACAGGTCATCGTCATCGTCATCACAACATACGTTTCACGTATGAATATAGGGTGTGGTCTGTCCGAGCACCTCACGCTTCTCTTCCCCATGAGCTCCTGTGCGACTTCCGGCGAGCTGATAATTACGAGTGGGGGCGCGAAGAACAATCGTACGGCAATGATGTCGCCTGTTCCGGAATGCTCTGTTATCCACGCATGCTTGCATGCAGTGAACAGGCATTCGTACCGTATTGCTCAGCCCAACGAGTGAAGGTTGCATGCAGATTTCTGAAAAGAGGTTGATGTGCGCTACTAACCAATGGAAGCGGCTTGGAGCCTGGACGAAACGAGTCTTTCCCGCTGACCCATCGAGAGTGCAAGACGTAAACGATGGCAAGTACAGTCGGCAACACCACACAGAATTGTACGGCTGCAGACCCATTGAGAAGTATGCGTTAGCCACTGGCCGATCAAGCGAAACACATACACTCACAAGTGGCAGCCGATATTGTGTCGTACATTAGGATACTTAGAAAGAACCGGTTGGGGCACCAGGCCAGCGATTCCAGAGTCCTCATAAGCAAAGCTCAGCCGCTCAACTGCGTAGACTGCGCAGCTATCAGAACACGTTCATGGTCACCTGAGAGGGCCCGACCTGTTGCAGGGCTTACGGGGATGACGATCCGAAAGATCGTGCGCCCATAATACTGCGGACTTCAACCTGGTAGCCTGGACGCCGATAGTAGGGCGGAATCGGGCAATATCGAACGCTGGCGCAGAGGGGCAAGCTAGCTCCAATTATCATATAGAGTGTAGAGTGGGGGTAAGATGCTGTAAGTGCACTCAAAGTGTTAATCTACTATTGGAATACTCTACGCGGCGTCGGCCTTATTCGACGAGACAATGGTCTCTATCGCTTGCGACGACCGCGGCTTAAAATCGCATTTGAACGGCTGAGCATGGCTATTTCTCGAGTTAGACAACGCGTATCGCGGCGAAACAAGTCACTAACTTGATCAAGCCATCCACAAAAAGCGGCTCAGGCGTGATTTCGCGGCCAAATTCGTCCTTTGCCTTGCAGATGTCCATGGTGGACAGCACGCTGGCGGCAAACAGCCAAACTGTGGAATCGCCGAAACTCCGGCCAGAGCAAAGTCTGCGGGCCGGTTAATGCACCGTGCAGCGATAGGATGTAAGGGTGCTCATACCTTCTACCAAAGCCAAACGCGGCTTTGGATGGATCTGGTACATTCGGATTAGAGCTAAAATCGAATCCCTCAAATCGCTCTGGCATGAAACGGTCCGGGTCGGGAAACACCTCCGGGTCGCGGAACATGGCCCTGGTCTATATCAGGACGGCGATTCAAATGTCGTATACTAGGATACCCACCAGACGTTTGGCATAATCAGAGTTCCAGCCGGCAGGTGGTAACCTCGATATTCGTCATCTTCTGACAACTGGTGTGGTATAACTAAATTCCATGTCATTGAATGCCATATGCTTGCAGATACCCTACAGTGCTTACCGAAAGGCAAAGGGCATCCCCAACTAGTCACAGGAACACTTAGAAATGGTCAAACAAGTAGCCGAAAACCCACGCTCACCGGTATACTTCTTTCAGGACGCACTCCAGATATGGCGTTGAGGCTCTGTCCTCAAATGTGGGCAGACGGGACTGCTCCACCACCCGATCAACTTCTGCCTGTGCTTTTCGGTACACCTCAGGATACAACACCATGGCGAGCACAAATGTCGTCATGACGGAGATCGTCTATGAACAGAGTCGGTCAAAGGTGGTTACGAGGAGCCCGGGCTGAAAAGTACCGTGTCGCTGCCAGCTGGACAAGAAATCAATACTGCTGCCTCAGTGCAATCCACTGAACACCAGAGTAATCACATACCCATGTAAACCATAGCAGCGGCACCCCTAACATTGTACTCGTCCTCTGGAGTTATCGAACCTTTCTGCGAGTGCTCGTCGAGTAATGCGGATAAAAATGAAGGTTTGGTGGATCCGGCGGCCTGTATTTCGGGTCAGCCTTGACTAAGACGCGCACGATGGAAACTTACCAGTGCTTCTCGCGCCCGATTAAACGGTTTATCGAACATGATCTTCACCATACCTGAAAGTTCACAAGCCTTTCGTTTGAGTCCATTTCCCGGCATCCAATTCGGTATGTTCTTCACTGATACAAATGAGCTCAAGCTGAGCGTTCGTGACACACGATACTGGCGTTACTCACGCATAGGAAAGAAGTCTATCAGAGTTACACTGGCGATTTGGAATGTGTCCGTGATAAGCTTGTCTGCCCATTCCATGAATTCAACATCGGGAGACGATGACGGATGGCCGTAAGCAATCTCCAACATGGATGAGCCAGCATATCTGCGTACAGATAGCGTTCAGCAACCGATGGGCTGGGTGGCCCACCGTACATACCTCTTTATATGCACCAAAAAATCAGCAGGTGTGTCAAGCAACACCGACAGCAGACGCCGGGCCCCCGTCTCTTGCAGATTGTGGTACGTTTCGAGTTGCTCTGCAGTGTGCGTCTGGAATGCCGCTCTGAACCATCGCCGATGCAACCGCCACCGGTCCCCGTATGGCAATATAGATATGATAGGATCAAAACCCATTCTGTAATGACGCATACATGAGCATGGTTGTCACGGTCAATTGCTGGGCTTACATTTCATTCAGCATGACCATCCTTGGCCGGTCAGAGTATTTCGAGCCTCGCTTTTCCAGCAAATCATGGGCGGCTTGCACGGAACTGATCACCACAAATGATTTGTGGAACACATTGAAAGAGAATATATCTCCTGGAGAAAGTCATCAATGGTTGGTACATAAGACATATAGACAGATAGTATGCGCACCGTATTTCTTGGCCCATTCGGCGAAGATCTTGTGTCTATTCTCCAAGGGTAGCTGATGAATGTTTCCTATAATCGGGAGGGGAGACGGGCCTGGAGGGAGTTTGTTCTGCAGACGAGTGCGAGAGACCACGAGTGCGCAGAGCAGAAGGCCAACAATAGCAGCCAGCGCTATTGGGTCGGAGGCCCGGTCCATGGCGTGGGCTGCTTTGGTGTGCGTATGGGAGAAGGGCGATGGCTCAAGCGGATCGCTCGAGCTGCGAATATATATGCATTTGCGACGGACCCAAGCTTGTGCTTGTGAACAGACCACGCGTGCATTAGACCCATCTGTACCTCGCTACGGTGTGTGCGCACGGTCTTGCACGGTCCCAGCCGACTTTCTCCGCAAGATTGACCGGTAAACGTTAAACCGGTGACTGGTCGACGTTTCGTCGGTCCTGCCTCTGATCACCAGTGCATGGTGTTGCGGGCGCTTGACGGTCCGAGCGCGATGGGCACGGAATATCAGGCGCCAAACGGTCAGATTCATGATATTTTCATCTTCGAGACTGCGACTTCAAACCCAACTTACTGCGACTTGCTCGGGACCTCATCGTTGACAGGTCTAAGCACTCTCCACAAGTAAGTACGCCAGCACAGTATTCGATACGCCGGACATTGACACCAGCATCTACCACCTTTCGTCGTGAAGAAATACATGTGCATTCGACACCGCTCCAAACCTTGGCCAGCTGTGGACAGAATCTCGTTCAACGGTGGGATTATTCTCAATGCGGAGGAGCAGTATTCATATCCACCACGCTTTCCCTGTTTCCCGAATGCCTCATGTTCGACCCTAGCAACGAGGCTACGTCTCAAAAGCGGACACCCCGCTCTCTGCGGTCCACAGCACAAGTCCACCGCTTCGACACATCCATGTGGACTGATCCGTGCCAGAATTTGAGCTAATGTCACAGCAGTCACCTCCGTAAATGTGTCTCCGTCCTCACGAAGAATAGCATATATGGACACAGCAGCTGTGATCGCCCGTATACTCGTGGTGAATTCATCCCCGCAGCTGACAATGGACCTTGTAGATTATCCTATTGAGTGCAACCGCTCAATCTCCAAGATGGACTGCTTGCGCTCTCGCATACCTTCACAAGCTCACGGCGCGAGCCACCTTGCGTTTCTGTCGTCTTATAAGATTCTGAAATGTCGTCTCTTCCTCCCCAGTCAAATTATCAAATTTTAATCGGTGAGTTCTCGCCAAATGATCCATTGGTTTCCACCTTTAATCTTCTTCTGTGCAGGAAATCTCTATGCAACAAGCAGTCAACGCTCCTCTTGGTCACTGCCGTTGGGCAACCGGGCCTCAGGATATATGCAGTGTCGTATTCGACGATGTAACGCCTGGAGGAGTCAAGCGGCACTTGAGATCAGTCCACTTCCCACAGTGGGTCGGAAAAGGGAGGACACACTGTCAATGGCGGGACGAGAACGATGCGATATGCAACAAAGTTCTCCGCAACGACAGCCTCGGTAAACACATCGCTACGGTGCACCTCAAGGCCACTGGCGTGCGGTGCGAAGGCTGCAACGAACACTTTACTCGTCGCGACGCATATCTTCGGCATCGCAACGTGTATTGCCCCGGCTGAGCACGTATACTGTATTCGGTATGTGCTCTTCAAGTTATCTACATAATTCAGAGATCATATATGTGCATTTTGCAGTTACCTTGAAGCCTGGTTATCATCTATGCGAGCTGCCCTGTATGCCTCCATGGACATTGTTTTCGACCTGGGGCGTGGATTTGCGAACGGGTATCTTGTCTTTTTTAGCATTTGAACGCCCTGGACGTTACTTCTTTGACTTGATATCGCTTTATCACGTTTGCTTTGCCCGGTCTGGATCGGACTCTTCAATTTGGCTTTCGTTGAATACACTGCCATGCACCTCATACGAACCTATTCCCTTTGTTGATCATAGCCATGTCCCATATTGTATATTTTTTGCCTCGCCTGCTACTTGAACTCACCGCTCGCTCGCTGTGCTCTGAGAAGCTCTTTCAAGATGGGTCTGCACATCTCGTCTGTTCAGAGCTCATTGCTAGCATGGTGTAACATCGCGCTCTCAGCGATACCTGATGAGTCTAGCAGCATTCCTGTGTATGCTTTGCGCAAGATTGAATAGCTACTGGAGCAATCTCGATCATAGACTGTTGGCGAGGAAATAAGGTATGGCGACTTGCTCAGCGGGCGATTCCGGCTGACACTTGGCATCTGCTCCAGTCAACTGACGACATATACATGGGACCTTCATAAGCGTTCGGTATCATCTGTCATAGCTGAACAGACACTGTTGTGTCCGCTACTGCAGGATGGAAATCATGGACAGATATAGAACGACAACATGGAAAAAAAGATCGCCCGGTTGGTTCGATTCCGATGGCCTGAAGTTGATGACCCTTGTATTGTTATCTCGTGCATGAGGTAGACGGTTCTAACAGGAGGGTTTTATCCTATGCCGTCATTCGACTCTATCGGGAGGAGTGGTTCCGGACGTATTTCTGGGGAGCAGAAGCTTTGATCTGTTCGCGAATGCACATATTCAGAGTTTGAGTTATCCGTTTGAACAGTCCCTCGTTCATATGCACACCAAAGCATCCCCCATGGAACTGGTCTCCAATCCAATAATTTCATAGTATGTTACGTGTGCGATCCCCTGTTATATGCAATTTCAGCAGGAACAGCTCTCAGCCTGAATAATTGACCGCTGTTCCGCTAGTGCTAGTGATCTTCCATGTTCGATGCTACAGCCAACAGTGGGCAAGCCGCACCAACCTATGTTAGCAATCCGGCACTGACTTAAGTATAGTTATCGCAACACATCCTTATTTGCTCACACTGGCTTACCTGCGTACAAGAACTCACACGCGTCCGTTGTGTTTAACAGGGGGGTTATTATATTTTTGAGCGAGAATAAAAGTGAACTGAAAGGGGCGCAAAAATGAGAAGAGGCTGGGGTGGGAAAACGAGGTATCACTCATCATATTTACCACCTTTGCCCGGTGCGCGTCAGTGTTGTGCCGACCGGGTCACAACAAAGAACTCATCCTTTCCATCAGGAGGACATGGTCCCTTTGTGATACTCAAGGAAATTTACTTTCTGACCTAGTGGAATGCTTGACAAATGTGCCTTTTGCAGCTTTGGAAAGGCAAAAAGCTACTTTCAATTATGAGAAAAGGTTAGATACCTACATTGTGTTATTTAAAGTCTTATCGCGCAATTCCAATGCCTTTTGCGTGCATTTTGATGGCGTCGAAAGGCAGGCTCCAGCCCATCCGGCTTCGAGAGGTAGAGGTAAGGGGAAATAAGGTTCAAAAGATTGCACGCGAGAGTAGCGTGGATGTAGCGTGAATGTCGCGTGGGATCTATTAATATACAGCTGACGGGATGAAGTCCCCTTACCTAGGAGCGAAGGATGGGCAGGAGCCTGGTCGAAAGGATGCTTTCTGCATTGTGGGTGTCGACCGGTCGACCGGTCGACGGCCCTCTAACCTTAGGTGTATCTTAGATTGCTACTACAGTATCAACATGCCCGTTGAATTGGGACTCTACTATATACATGTTAGCCCACTCACCAGAGAAGTAAACCGTCTGCAGTACATGACAGTTAAACCAGACCTCACGTTGGAGGGTCTCACAGTCGCCATTGAGGATTTGCAGCGGCCTCAAGTCGACTCACTTCGTATTAGGATTTGGAAAGTAAGTAACTTCACAAACACATGTTCTATATGCCTCACGATGTTCATCGATTCTAGGTGAACGATCCCTTCAGCCATGAAGAAACACTGGAGGACAGACTGGAAAAAAGTGACTATATGCTCGAGCAGGTTGCGACTCGGGTCAGAAATCCGGCTCAGCAAATACATAGTCTTTTACCCAGCACAGCCCTAGCGACAAGGACCCTAGGAAAAGTTAAAAGTCTGAGGAAACAGCCACAACTTCCACCGCCTGAGTGTTACTTTTTCTATACCATTGATCATAAGAAGAAAGTGTTTCAACGTATGTATCACCCACTTTGAGTGCATTTGCTATTTTATTTATGTGACCCGATGCAGCCCCAGCTGTTGCAGCTGTGCAAAAGTGCCGATCTATTCGTGGTACTTCAACTAACAATGCGCATACCCGGAAAGTGGACGAAGCATGAATGTGAAGAGATGCTCTCCCCTTCCAAGAACGATATGCAGGTCATGAAGCGCCGTGAGATCGTGACACTCTTCAATGTCCTCCATTGCTATGTCCCAGACTTGCAGCTGGCGTCTCATACATCGTCGTCTTCGAAGGCATGTGACCTAACGATATATTTCGTTAGACCTCTGTTTGTAGCGACTCTTCCAGAAAACAGTCCCTGCGTATTTGGAGAGTGTGTAGTCTCCTTATGTCGCTGTTGATACTTAAGCTAATCTGACACTTCTAGACAGGCGTCTTGGAAATTTCCAGTGTTTATACAGCCTTCGGATCTGATTGGTGGATGGCGGAAATATGTGCCAATCAGCGATTGGAGCATTATTTTCCGTGGCTATTCGTCCCCCTTTTGTCTTGTCGGAGATGGCAAGCGAAGAAGATAGGTACCGGATGTTGGCGCAAGGTCTAGTGGCGGTGCGTGTGTGACAATTCCTTTTGAAAAGCGATTCGAAAGCGGATTTTTTCGTTGTATGTGTATACCTCACGTCCGATTTCGTGGCGGAGAGGTACATCCTTCGCATTGGCACAAATACGAAGCAGGTATGATAATAACAGTATTGCTGCGCGCCTGTGGTTCCAACGCGACCTATATCCCTGACAGGTATACATTCACCAAAAGGATTTCAATCTTAAAGCGAGCATCGACGCAGTACACTTTCTTCGAGAGCTGTATAATCTCCGAGGGGTAATGGCTGATCTGGAGAAGGAACTAGACTCATCGAAGAAACGAGTTTTGCGGGAGATCAACGATATTGGCTGGAAGATGGTGTCGCATCCGAACAAAAAGGACAAGTCAGGCTGGGCGTCGTCGACGGGCATTTTGCATCGTGCGCTAGGCAGCGTCGCCGAGATGAGCAAACCTAATCTGGACGATGACTTGGGAATCTTTGGTACTGATAAGGGAGCTGCCGTCGTCGAACAGATGGGCTTGGTCGTCGAGTACGTTTTATTCGGGGTATATTTTACATCCACTTCTCAGCAGCCCTGGACTTGCAGCTAATCTATGACTTCCTGTTAGCACCCTTTTGTCGCCTATGTGTGGGATGAGAATCACGAAGCGGGAATCCTCAAGTTCGTGCCGAAGGGTCAGACTGAAGTCGATGTGCTCCAATACCTGAACGCGATCGACTCTCCCATGAACCATACGGTTCGTCCAATACAGGTCCGGTCGACTAGTCAGGGGACGTTTGTCCATTTGCCTCCATCCGGGGGTTGGCTTGGGTGTCTCCGAGATGTGGACGAACACTTGAAGGACACTGCATTACAATTATTCGAGGCGGTCGCGTTTATGCACAAACATCGCGTAGCCCACCTGGACCTGAAGCCCGCAAACATTGTCATTCAGCCGGAGTATGGGAGACTGACCATCATAGATTTCAGTCATTCGATTCGCGTCAAACGCACTAGTCAAACGGTCACTGGCCTGTTCGGCACGGAGGGGTACATCGCGCCGGAGATGGGTGAGATATCATATGATCCCATACGAGCTGACTTGTGGTCTTGTGGCAAGGTTGTTGAAGAGTTGTGTGCTCACTGCAAGTCGCCTTCGCCCATCCATGAGCAGTTAGTCGGTATCGCGGGGCGGCTGATGAGCCCCGATCCTCTCCGGCAGCCCATCATGATTGAGGCTGTTCGAATGCTCAAGTGTTCTGATACAAAGCCTGCATTTGGTCATCGCATGATCGGTGTTTTAAAGTATGTAGTATCGTTTTTATCCCTGGGATGCACAAGAAACGTCACCCTTCAGTCGGATTGCAAGGAGACAAGTGTGGTCACGAACTAGAGGCTAGAGAATACCTGTATCATGATTCACCAGTACATATTGTAGTGTAATACACGCTGTTCATGAATGTATCATCGCATGGAACGTCCGTCATTCGCTCATAACATTACGATAACTTTGCGCGCAAAGCTTGCATTTCAAATACAAACTATGAACTGCGTCATCACCGTACTTGTTCAACAGGTATATGGGCCAATGATGAATAAGAGGATCTACCCCTTTGTCGATGACGAACGTGATTGTAACGGCGCCGTCAGCCACCAAGGGTGACTTACCTGTTTAAGGTGTTGGGTTCTCAGTGCCAGCGGCATCAGCAGAACAGAGTTTTTTTTTGTATGCTAGACGATCTGGCGTTGATTGGACGCAAAATTTCCGAATTCTCGATGGCGCCCTCCATGGCGAAGATGCTCATTGTGTCTGTCGAGTCGAGTACAAATGCTCCGCGGAAATGCTCACCATTGTATCTATGATTTCCGTTCCGAGCGTATTTTATCGCCCCAAGGAGCGCATAGAGGAAGCGGATGCTGCAAGGGAGAAGTAAAATGCACCAGAGAGCGATCATTTGACGCTATTGGATGTCTTCGTGCAGTGGAAGAGCCACGGGTACGTGGACGTATCTATGATTTTTACCACTCAAAGTATGTGTTAAAATTCCGCGATAACTGAGCTCTACATCATTTCTTGCACCCCAAGCAGACTGCTCGGAAAGCACGGGAAGTACGCTCACAGTTGGAAGATATCATGAAGTTCCAGAAGATGGACCTCATCTCTGCAGGGACTGATTTCGATGTCATCAGGTATATACCGTTTGTCATGATCCACTGGCTGGTCCTCCGACTACCTTGCGCGAAGCGCGTCGCCCACGGCTGCGTGACGACTGGGCACCGTGTTGGAACTTGGAACGGAGACTGCAATGCGAGCTCAGATACGGTACGGTCAGACTCGTGACATGTGATTTCACCAGACGGACTGGGGAGTGTGCCTACAGTGTCATCTTTGAATTTGAATTAAGCCCTGTGAATATAATATACTACATTGGCTATCCTGAAGCATGAACTCGAATTGGTGAAGACCAATTTGAGATCTACACAGACTCGCTTTAAGAATACTGTCAATGAGCTTACGAAAACCAACAAATCAACAGGACTTTGTCATTGACGACATGGAAGGTGATCCTGAATTTGATTATTAGTTTATTTTATTGACCTACATTGTTCTAATATCATACAAATCGAATAAATACATTCGGCGGGGTGGTCCATATGGGAAATTTATGTAATCGTCACGTACGCTTTGTAGGAATTGCCGCTCCCCATGGGTAGACTCGGGGAGGACCCCGGAAAGTCCCCTATGAGCCTCAATCTCAGAGTTACCGGAAGGGGGGGTCTCCAGAGCCCTTATGTTAGATCCCCGAGGGCCGAATTTTGGGTCAGTTGCTGCTCATCTTCGATGTCAGGACCGCCAAAACGAGGGTCTCTGGCAGGATCTCCCGTCCCATGACCGCCAAATTGGGGGTCTCACACTGGTTTGATTATAACTCGACGCGCTATACCCAAACCCGATTGGCAAACAGGCGAAGATACCTTTGCGGCATGGATTGAAGATGCTAAGGCCAACCGATACCATGATGCAATGCCTACCGGACATCGAACGTTTACATAATGAGCTGATCGCTTGTGCTCCGGCTGTTTATAGAGAGATGGGCACTCGTCGCAAACGCGTTCATGCACCAGCTATAGAGGAAAATAGTCGGGATGTCTAGCAAGGTTTACGAGCTAGCTTTAGCTTGAGGAACTGTGGTTAGATACTTTCTATTGTACATTCAGTGCTTTTAATATTCTATGCAGTTACACGAGATATATTGTTGATGTGATGGATGGTAAATGGAAGAGGAAGTAGTCAGCGATTTTTTTTTGCGATTTTCTGCGATTTGTTTTTGTTGAGGTTTGATCCCATTAGAGCCAAAAATCGACCAATCTCCGGGAGCATATGTGCCATCAGGCCGAATTTGGGTCTACTCCGACAGCCGAAAATAGGTGCCTGAGGGATCTAGGCTCATAGGGGATTTTCCGGGGTCCTACTTGGGGTCGGTTGTGAATTTGCGAACGGCGTATCTCATCTTCTTTAGCACTTGAACGCCCTAGATGTTACCTCTTTGATCATAACTTGATATCGCTTTATCACGTTTGCTTTTCCCGGTCTAGTGATGGGACTCTTCGATTTGGCTTTGGTTGAAGCAATTGCCATGTACCTTATACGAACCTACTATCCCCTTTGGGGATCATAGCCATATTCCAGATTGTATTGTGGCCTTGCTTGCTACTTTTAATCTCACTGCTCGCTTGCTGTGCTCTGAGAAGTTCTGTCAAGATGGATCAGCACATCTCGTCTGTTCAGAGCGCAATGCTAGCACGGTTGGACATCATGCTCCTAGCAACACCCGATGAATCTAGCAGCATTCCTGTGTGTATGCTTTGTGCAAGGTTCGATAGCTTGTGGGGCAATCTCGACCATAGACCGTTGGGGAGAAAACAAGGTACGGCGACTTGTTTAGCGGACAATTTTAGCTGACACTTGACATCTGCTCGAATCAGCTGACGACATGTGTATGGCATTGGAACCTGGCTTCGGTAGCATTTGTCATAACTAAACAACCATTGCGCCCGCTACCGCAACACAGAAAAGATAGGCAGACTTGAACACGGAACGACAGCATGAGAAAAAAGACTACCGAGTTGTCTCAATTCTGATGGCCCGAAGTGTAAAGAATGTACAAGTGGACTCTCCGTGGTAGAGGTGATGACCCTTCTATTGATATCTCGTACATGACTCAAGGCAAACGGTTCTAACGCGATGGTCTTAACCTATGCCGTCATTCGGCTCTGCCGGGAGGAGAGATCCCGGACGCATATCTGGGAAGTAGAAGCTCTGGTCCGTTCGCGAATGCATATATACAGAATTCGATTGAACAACCTCTCGCTCATACGCACGCCAAAGCAGTCCCAGCCATGGACCTGGCATCCAATCCAATCGTTCTAGCTGCTATCATTGGTCTTCTGCTCTGCGCATTCGTGGTCTCTCACACTCGTCTGCGGAACAAGAAGCTTCCTCCAGGCCCATCTCCACTCCCGATCATAGGCAATCTTCATCAGCTACCCTTGGAGTATAAGCACCAGGTCTTTGCCGAATGGGCCAAGAAATACGGTGCGCAGACTGTTTATGCAGACTGTATACCTGTCCTATGTACCAATTGCTGATGACCTTCTCTAGGAGATATATTCTACCTCAATGTGTTCCACAAACCAACTGTAGTAATCAGTTCTGTGCAAGTCGCCCACGATTTGCTGGAGAAGCGTGGTTCGAAATACTCTGACCGGCCACGGATGGTCATGCTGAATGAAATGTGAGCCTACTCACTGGCTTGTGATGTGGCGGTGATGCTCATGTGCATGCCGCTGCAGAATGGGTTTTGATTCTGTTCTATCGATATTGCCATATGGAGACCAGTGGCGGTTACATCGGCGATGGTTTCAATCGGCATTCCAGGCAAATACTGCAGAGCAAAACTACCGCAGCCTGCAAGAGAGAGGGGTCCGGCGTTTGCTGTCAGTGTTGCTCGACGCGCCTGCTGATTTCATGCTACATATAAAGAGGTGTGTATGGCGGGCCACACAGGCCAACGGTTGCTGAACGCTATCCGTACACAGATATTCTGGCTCAGCGATGATGGAGATAGCTTACGGTCATCCGTCATCGTCTCCGGATGTCGACTTTATGGATTGGGCAGACAAGCTTCTCACGGAAACATTCGAACTCGGCAGTGCAGGCTCGACCCTGATAGACTTCTTTCCCATCCGTGAGTTGTGATGATATTGCGCGCTGTGAACATGAAGACCATTTATGTCAGTGAAAAATATACCAAGCTGGATGCCTGGAAATGGACTCAAACGAAGGGCTTGCAACCTTGCAGCCATGGTGAGGATCATGCTTGATGAGCCATACGAACGGGTGCAGAGAGCGCTGGTAAGTTTTCGTCGTGCGCGTCTTAGCCGTGGCTGATCTGAAATACAGGCCGCCGGATCTACCCAGCCCTCGTTCCTATCTGAATTACTCGACGAGTACTCGAAGAAAGGTTCGATAACTCTGGAGGACGAGTATAATTTAAAGGGTGCTGCTGCTATGGTTTACATAGGTAGGTGGTTACTCTGGGATTTGGATTGCGCTGAGAAGGTGTATGAAAATACTACCTAGCTGGCACTGACACGGTACGTTTCAGCTGTTCTCGTAATCTCCTTTAATTCACTTTGCACAGACAATCTCCGTGATGATGTCATTTGTGCTCGCCATGGTGCTGTATCCTGACGTCTATCGAAAAGCACAAGCAGAGATCAGTCGAGTAGTGGAGCAGTCACGTCTGCCCGTCTTTGAGGATAGATCTTCGATGCCGTATTTGGAATGCGTGCTGAAGGAAGTATACCGGTGAGCGTGGGTTTTCGGTTACTGATTTGACCATTTCTAAGTGTTCGTACTGCCAGTTGGGGATGCCCTCTGCCTTTCGGTAAGCATTATAGAGCATCTACAAGTGCACAGCGTTTAGTGACATAGGATTAAGTTATACCACACCGATTGTTGGAAGATGACGAGTATCGAGGTTATCATTTGCCGGCTGGGTCTCTGATTATACCAAATGTCTGGTAACTATCCCAGCGTATCGCACTTGAACTGCCATCCTAACTACAAACTAGGGCTATGTTCCGCGATCCGGATTTATTTTCCGACCCTGACCGTTTCATGCCAGAGCGATTTGAGGAATTTGATTTTAGTTCTAATCCGACTGTACCAGATCCGTCCAAAGCCGCGTTCGGCTTTGGTAGAAGGTACGGGAAACCCTACATCACCACACAGTGCATTGACTGTCATAGATTTTGCCCTGGCCGAAATTTTGGAGATTCCACCGTCTGGCTATTTGCTGCCAGCGTGTTGTCCACCATGGACATCTGCAAGGCAAAAGACGAATTTGGCCGCGAAGTCACACCTAAGCCGCTCTTTTCAGATGCTTTTGTTAGGTCAGTGTCTCGTTGCGCGGCGATGCATAATGTCTTACCCGAGCAATAGTCACCCACTCCCGTTCAAATGTGATTTTAAGCCTCGGTCGTTACAAGCGATAGAGACCATTGTTTCATCTAGTAAGACTGACATCGCATGACATCTCTTGATAATAGATAGATACTTTTGGTACATTTATCGCATCCTACTGTCACTATATGCCACAATTGAAGCCGTCCTGCCTCTCCAAGCCAGCATTCGAAAATGACGGAGTCGACCCCATAGTAGACATCTCAACTACCAGATTGAACCCCACGGCAATCCGGTACGTTATGGGCATATGTGATGACCATGGTCTCTCCAGTCATCATTGCCCTACGTTCGGTCAAGCTCTTGGTGTCATGCTTCATGGTGGCACGAATTGAAATCAAGTCAGGTTTTTCTCTATAAGTAAATACTAGCAGTATACCGATGCTCACGCACGGTTGTTTCTTGCCTCTTACATACTCGGTGCCACCGAATTCGTGAAATTAATACATTGAGCTTTGAAAACACTGCGAACCTCAGTCTTTGAACAGGTGTATTATCCATCTGAATACAACACAGTAATTACTCAGAATACAAACACGCACACAAACTTCAACTCAAATGCTAGACAAAGTTCATACCGAAAGAGAGTATATTATGTATGCGATCCCCTGTCATATGCAACTTCAGCAGGGACAGCGCTCGGTCTGAATAATTGACCCCCGTTCTTCCCCATATCGAGCAGGTTCGATTCCACCTACTCTCACGATGGCTATAAGATGAAATATCGGAGAGAGACCAAGAATGTTATACATCTTTCCTGGAGCGCGGTCGTATATCGCACTCGAAGGGAAGTACGTGCCTATGTGTGGAGTTAGTCGGATGCTTACACACGTGAAAAAAAAAAAGCCCATACCTCGTAAAGCCAGATTTGAATACTGGAACAGGCGAAATCTCTTCACCAGTCTGATCGCGTGCTTTTCGAATGTCCAAAGCAGACAAAATGCTAGCCGCAGCTATCCAAACGCTGTTATCAGCAAAGGTACGGCCAGGACATATTCTGTGCATAAACTCAATCCAGAGATCACATCACATAAGGAGAGCCAGACATACCGTCTGCCAAAGCCGAATATCAACTTGCGCGGATCGTACAATTCGAACGTCTCGTCATCCATCGATTCAAACCTTTCGGGAAAGAACCTCTCTGGGTCCGGGTAGATATCTTCTCGGCGCGTCATTGCCCTACACAAAGTGTGAATATTCAGTCTTCAAGGGTGTCATCATGAGCAACGCTCACCAGATGTTAGGTATAATGGTAGAACCGCCAGGAAGGTGATATCCATTATACTCATCGTCTTCTATTAGCCGATGGGGTACTCCTTGAAACGACACAGTGGTTCATTATGATTTGCCTCGGAATGCATCAGTGAACAAGAGGCATACCTAGAGGCAGGGGGCAGCCCCATCTGTCATACAATGTTCAGATGTAAGGCCCAGACATGAGTGTCGTAATGTGACATACCGATAGACTTCCTTTAATACACATTCGAGATAAGGCAACGAGTGTCTGTCGTCGAACTCGGGAAGCCGTGAGCCTTTAGTCACTTGATCTACTTCTGCTTGTGCCTTGAGGAAGATGTTTGGATGCATAACCATCGCAAGAATGAATGTCATTATCGCTGTCATGGTCTACATGCTATAGTCAGGGATTTGCACTAAAACCTTTGGACTGTACAAACCGTATCTGTGCCCCCTAATGAGGGCATCATTCACCTATATCAATAAAGGGACACCACGTAGAAATGATCTTACCTGCATAAACAGTTGTGATAGCTCCTTTCAAGTCCTCCTCGTCTTCTTCGGTGACAACTCCTTCTATGGAAAGCTTTTCAATCAAACTCGCTAAAAGCGAAGGTTTGTTAACTCCCGCAGCCTAGAGCTGGAGTTAGTTTGAAAGGATATGAAAGGATATAAGAAAGGAATGAAGTCCACCATTTCCTTCACCACGCCTTCGTATGGAACATCCATAGTAATTCGCAGCATTTGTGCGATTTCGCTTGCTCGCCGCTTGAATTCCAACCCTGGAAGCCAAGTCGGCCAGAATCGCACTACGCACAATGTAAACTCCGACTGTCGAGATTATCATTAGTACTTACATATAGGGAAAAGGTCCACCAGCGTTGTTGCCGCTCCTCCAGTTTCGAGTATTGCTGTGAATGTATTCTCTGCGAGCGTGACAAGTTCATCGTCCAAGGATGTAACAGTCCGTCCGAAAGAGATTTCCACCATGAGCGCAGAAGCGTATCTATGAATGAGCTTAGATCGTGCGTAGATTTTTGACAATGGCAATCTACCGTTTGACATGAGACTGAAATGCGTGGGGTTCCTGGCATAATCCCAAGAGCAGTATCTGTACTTCTCTCAGAAGGAGAGGATGATACCGTTGAACGGCAGCGTCTGTCTGGATACCTTCCCGAAACCATTTGCGGTGGCGGCGCCATTGGTTCCCGTAGTGTAGAAATGTAGTACCTGTGGACGTGCGCAACCTGAAATTGAGATTGGATATGTATATATAAACCATCTCCGATGAGGCTCACATGTCATATACAAACACGGAGTGCGGTCTGTCGGAATATTTTGCGCCCCTCTTCTCCATCAAGTCTCGAGCAGCTTGAGCAGAACTGAGAATGATTGCAGGAGTGCTGAACAATCGCGTGGTGACCACATCACCTAGATAATATTATGCTCTTCAACTAGCGATCTGACGTAGCAAGGGCCTTCTCGTACCGTATTGATGAGCCCAATGGCCAAAGGTCACGTGTTGATACTCCAGAGGAAATTGATGCAGGTTTCCAATGATAGGTAGCGGACTAGGTCCTGGCGGAAATTTGTACTTTCCACCGGTCGACCGGGAGTGCAGAAAATGAATGATAACGACCGCAACGAGGACGCAGAGGGACACCACTATGGGGCCTTGAACGAGGCTTGTAGAATCCATGAGATAAGGCGCACCGATAGATCGTTCTTTTATAAGGAAGGCAACAAAGTTAACGGTCAAATCGGCTATGCCTTCGGCATCAAATGATGTCAGCCAATTTCGCTAGTATCTCAGTCTGGATCCCCCTAGAACGCGTGATATACAACACCAAGGGCACCTTTATGACTCTCGGTTCGTAATCCAGGAAAGCTCACGAGAGTAATCTTGGTTCTTTCAGTGTATAGGACTTTGCGCCGAGTATAATATTACCCACCGTGTTGAGTCATGTGCAGCAGCTCTATCGTAGGCTCTTGTCGATAACGAAAGAGGAAGTTCGCACTAGAAGAACTTGCATGACGACCTGGAGGAGACACTGTGGGGAATTCTCAAAGGTAAGTAGAGCGCCAAACATGGAGACAGCATTTCCCGATCGTGTTCGGAGCTCGAATATGTTAGTCGGACATTGCAACAACATCCGTCAAACACGGGCGTTCAGCTAATCAGCAGCCGCCGATCACCCATATTTAGCGGTCGAACCCTCCTGATGTTTAAGCTCCGAACACAATGAGAACTCGCTATCTCCTGCGAGATATGTTCGATGCATGTTCTCTACTCGAGTAGTATCGTGTGTGAATACAGGTTACAGCAATCTTGACATCGATGTGCTGCCCTTGAGAAAATACAATAGAGCACCGGCTGGTGCCAGCACCACAGCGGCTCTAGTACCGCCCAGCTGACGTTGCCTCGCATGAGCTGTCTTTTGCGCTCTTGACCATATGACTGGACTCGGACGGTCTATTCATCTCTCCCAAAAGGAGCTGATCGTGACAATGTCAAATCATATGCCAAACAACGAAATCACCCATTCGACTGGTATCAATGAGCAGACATACCTGTACAGAACTTGATTTCATCATTATTTTCGTCGCTGCTATCCTCAAATGAGTGCAGCCCAAGACTGAACGGATCATCACCTGGAGCATCAAGCCACGCATCAGCCGAGGGGCCACCGCGCTCCTCGAGGACGGCACGCCTGTTTTGAAATTGCTGTAAGGGCTCTGAGCGGGATCTCACGCACATGCGGCACAGTATCGTGACAAATACATAAACCTAGGTGTCGATGGCGAAATGCGTGCAGTTGTCCTGTGCTGCGAAGGACTGCCGAAAAATAAGATGGCTTTGGTAACGAGTCACAAATAGGACATTTCTGGGAGCGCCGAGTAGGCGTTAGGTTGTGCATCAGGCTCTCTATACTGTAGGGGGCGTGCTTACCTACTAACGAGAAAACCAGAAGAGGAGAAAGAGGGAAAGGAGACGAAGAGTTCAAATGGCTTCTACGTGCATGAAGCTCCTGTGCATGACTCATCAGATCGCAGCGAGAAGTAGCTGAGTAGTTGACCAGGATCGCCGGTCCAGCATGCAACATCATTGTCGATCACTCCTCGGAACCGGTGAAATACAGGAACACCAGGAGTCTAGGACCAGACCAGGACATAGCGACTGGGACAACCAGATACAGGTCTGGTACGACAGCGATCAGATGTCAGTGAAACCAAGTCCTTGAACCGGATGGGTAATGAGCGTATTCGGCCAAGGTGCCTTGTAGGGATACACTCAACTGTATTTACGGTCTCGTTTCGCAAAAGCGACCAGTTCCAAGCCTACACCACTAGATAAAGGTCCTGTCCTCGCTGCCAATGCCAATGCCAGCGCCTGATGATGCATAGCTTGCAGGACTAAACGTAGTACCCTAAGTGGTTCAACAGTGTCAGCGTTGCTTGAAGGCGGTGCTAGTGGAATGTTTCCATGCCACCATGGAATGAAAGTGTCAAACAATCTGGAACAGAGATAGACGCGATTCCTTTCTGATAGTACTGTACATCGGAGCACATTAGTACAATAATACAACTCACATACTGAAACACTCAAAACACTGCTAATACACTCAGTCCGCTCAACAGCTGCACGTTATACCACATTCTGGGAATACACCGACAAAGACTTAAATCCATAAGCAAAGTACATACCATCAATAGCAAAGTAGTAATAGCGCTTCATGCCAATCAGGTCTCGAGGAACTCCCGTCGCACATCCACGAACGCCGCGGGACCGCACCCCATGAGACCCAGCTGGGTGACACATGCACCGGCCTGGCGGAAGATGGTTTCAAGAGCAGGATGGACTGGGCGTCCTTGAGACTCTGTATGGTGTTTAGCTACATGCACACCGGACTATCAAGGTGGCTACTCACCTAGTATGGCCTGATTGACTTCCCCAGCTAGCTCTACGCGGGCCTCTTGGCCGGCCATCGCGCCCACCTCGCCGCCCTCGCGCTCCGGGTCCTCGTAGGCGACGAGTCCGAACGTGCGGCGAAGATGTGTGCGCACAACCTCGCGTGTGTCGGACTTGAAGTCCGCCTCCAACCCCTGGCCATATGACAGCGCAGTGTGGAGGGCCGCACGCGCCTGTTCTGTAATAGCGCTAGTGAGGTCGGACGCAGACACAAGCTGGTCTGATGCAGTGGATAGGACACGGGCATCGGGCGACGGGTCGTCCACATCCATCGCGCCCTCGCCATCCAACTCTGCCCCATTCTCGTCGACACTTGAAAGCATATACTCAGCGCCCCCGCCCGTGCCTCCCCGGTGCATCTTCTCCGCAGTCTTTACATTCTTTTCCCGTTCGGTCGCCTCCTTTGCCCGCCTCGTAGCCTCGCCTGCCTTGAGCACCAGCTCCACAAACTTCCTGCAGCGCAGTCGGAAATACAGCAGCCCTTCCTGCGCTTCCAGCGCTTGAGGGTGATGCATGCGCAAACCTTCTATTGCCACATCTACATCGCCAGTACGCACCGCCTGTAAGATGGACAGACGGTTCTGAAGATCTTCGGTCTCAGGATCCACATGGTGTGATTGCTCTTTGGAAGTTGCAGGGTCAGTCGTGTTCATTGCGTCGCGAGACGAACCAGCACCCGGTGTCTCCTCCGTCTCCATAGCCACGTCCGCTTCTTCGTTCTTCACAGAAATACCATCAGTCGTGGTAAGTTTCTTGCTCTTCGTGCATTGCTCTCGGAACGCCCGTGCCGTGCGTGCATATCCATGATGGGAGAGATATGCAGAAATCAAATTCTGCATCGTGGCACTCGCTTCTTCTTTCTCCTTTGAGCTTTCGAGAATAGCCGACATCTCGTCTCTCTTCTCGCCATCCTCGTGGCTGCTGGATTTTCCCATACCCTGACCGTCTTCGGTGCCCACAATCGACCCCCATATCTGATCTCTTTGTGCACGCACATGATCTGTGATAGCATAGCGGAAAGGGGCAGAACCGAAGTTAACACGAATGGCTTCCGCAGTATGGCGCAATCCAACTGCAGGGTGGAGATTCACTCCAGAGCGCGGCAAATTATCGAAAACCGAGTCTGGAGTGTCACCATCCTGTCGTCAGCATCGTGAAGAGCAAGGAGCAGCTCTAATAGGCTTACTGAGCAGGGCGCCATTCTTCGTGAAGAATACGCGGCTCTGGCTGAAATCAATCCCGCATCCGATCACATCTCCAGCTGAGAAGAATGGCCATTGACCGAAGAGTCTATCAGATCAAACAGAGCACTCACAGTCATATGTCGGTCCGTACGGCGAGCCGTCTTTCTGCCCGGCGAACACCCATCCATCATCCGCATGATATCCCCACGACAATGGCTCCAGCCCGGGAAGACGCACTAAACGCACATTTGGAGCGGAGAATCCGATGCTGATATGGCTGAACGAGTGCACAGAATTAACTGAAGTTGGACATAGCAGGCTTTAACTCACCCTTTCGAACCTCGATGTAAAATCTCGACCTCGTAGTAGTATATCCCACAAGCAGGCGGGATCCAATGATTCGCACGCGCCGCCGCCGCATCACGATCCCCGGTAAATGAATGGCCTAATGGAACGTCACACGAGAAGAACGCCGCAGTCCGTTGGAAGCTCACCGGTGAATGTCAGCTCGCGTCCATCTGCGGATACGCTCAGTTGCGGAGCCCGATCATGCTCGCTCCACCGCGTGGGTAGCCGGAAATCCGTCATCGAGATGCGCTGTCCAGTCGTCGTGCTCGGGGCCTGTGGCGGTGGGCTTGGACTATGCGTGCCCTCCGAACCGCTGTCCATCACAGGGGTGAGCGACCGCCGCAAATATGGATACGGCCCCGGACGCGGCGCTTGGCCATGCGACGCAACTGGGGCGGAGATAGTGGAGGTGCGGTACACGTGCGGCGACACCACTGGCTCAGCGAGAAGCAGATCGCGGAGCGCAGAGTACTCTAGGTATGCAGGACGCGGGAAGCTGTTGCTGTTGTGTGCGTGGGCAGGCGGCGTCAAGATGCTATGGTTGGGCACTACGTCGACATGCATCCCGGCAGGAAGCGACGCTGAGAGGCGCGGCGCAGATGGTGTCAGGCCGGAACGTGGTCCAGCGCTCAAGCGACGCGGACGAATGGGTGAAGTCAACGCCGGAATCTCTGGGACTGAAGGAGCGGGCAGGCACGCCGCGGGATCCCGCTGGGCGACGGGCGAGCTCGCAGCGCGTATAATGCGCGGCTGGAATGATGCCGCAGGACTGATGTTGGTGGGAGAATTCGGGTGCGCGCCGGGTCGCAGTCCGCGTCCTGTGGAAGAAGCGATGGAGGAGTAGCTTCCCACAATCGGACGCACCGAGGGCGATGTGCTGATCGTGCTGCGAACCGGGCTTAGGCTGGGTCCACGACGCCTGCGGTCCTCGGGGCTGCCTGCGATGGCGCTGGCACGGCGGGCGGGATTGACGGAATTATTAGAACGGGCGAAAGGGATGGGGATAGCATCATCGAGCATGCTACGCGCCGGGTGCGACGACCCAGCGGGGATGGGTATGCTGGCAGAGCGAGACGACCGAGACGACATGACGAAAGACAAGAACTCTACGACTTTCCGTCGTTGTGTTTGTGCTCGCCCCGTTCCTCTTTCCGCCCTGCACACACCTACTTAAGCGACGTTGGGATTGAAAGAACGAGGTTCGGCAAAAGGTCGTAAGACAGGCAACTGCGCACCTGGGTTGCTCTGCAACAACCCTGGCAAGCCACTCCGTTTGTCAGATACAAAATTGCAAGAGCAAAAGTTGCAGGAAGCAGGATCTACGTACTCTGCTTACAGGAGACTACCCTATTCCTCCTGCGTGACGGTCCGACGTTGGTCTGATGGGGTGAAACGCTCCCTTGCCGAGCGAGACGTGTCGACAAAGAGGGGTTCTTCAGCACTTGGCCTCTTCAGCGCGGTCGTCGAGCAGAAAGCAAGGCTGCGGTAAGGTGGTGGTTAGTGGGAGAAAGCAAAGAATGATGAACCAATCGTCAAGTGACCGAGTCTTCTGACCGGTCTTGGATTCCGCGGGCAGAAGTACGATGGATTAGCTACACAGATATTCGCACAGAAATCGCATACTAGCTAAGAGGAGAGAAGAGAAGAGGGGGAAAGTGCATATATACACGAGAGAGAGAGAGAGAGAGAGAGCTAAATTTATAAAGTAGCAGGTTGAACGACTGGATATGTGAATGCTCCCAAATCTGCGCAATTACGATGCGCACATTGAGTTCACAATCTCAAGTTGTGCCTAACGATCGAAAAAAAACCATCTTTTACAAGTCGATACCTGAGGTCGAGTAGACCAGCTTATGAGCAAGTTAGCGACCACTGCCAGGCAGCTCAGGCGGCAGTGCTCAGCAGCTTGGAGGTGGGAACTGCATTTCATTGCATTTGAATCTCCGCCGTGGCTCCTCCGAGTCCCCAAACATGCACTCCGAGTCAAGCATCTAGGCGTCTCCTGCCACTGGTGTTTGCTCGACTCTCTCTTTTTCTCTAGCTACATACACTTCCAGTTCCATTTACCTCATGCCCTCACCTCCTCCCGAAGATGATTTTACGCATCATATTGCTATCACGCTCTCCAGAGCGCTCAATCTCATAAATCCGAACGACCTTCTTGCCCGTCGAGTGCAAGACATTGCGAAGACCAATTCCCTTGAGGGGTTTATTTCTGGTATGCTTGTATTCGATGACCGTAGAGGATCTCTCATTGAATTCTTCCTTGAAAGCTGCGAAGACTTTCGGCAAGTTTAAGGACTCCTTTCTAGCAGAGCTGCATTCCGAGATTATCACGCATGCTAAGCAGGATGCAAACGGCCTCGCTCCGCAACCCATGCAGGGCATCGTCGTGCACGATAGCGAAGTCCTTGAGCCGGACCCAGTTCGCCCGGGTGGGTTAATGCGAAAGGACGCGGTGCGGACTCCATTCGTCTGGTCGAGAGCTGTTCCCGCTGATGCATATTTCCTGCAGGTACACACGTTCCGTCAGCCTGCGAAACCGATACCACCTCCTACACCGAGAGCGTCTGTACTTGGTTTGGACAGGCTTGCGCAGGAGAAGCGTGCTGCCGCTGTGGTGAATGGCGAGGGGAGTAGGAAGAAACCTCGGCTGGACGATGGGACAAACCCCGTTTTCAAAGGTTCGAACTCTTGCCCGACCCTTAAAAAGACAAATTCACACGCATTCTCGTTCAGTGCCAAACTTGCCTGCCTCACGGACAGCTAATATTCGCCAACGGGGTGAAGAGACACCTTCGCATCCTGGTGGATTATCCGAGACCGCTCGGAGCCGACTAGAAGAGTACAGGCGCAAGAGGGAGCGTGGTGTGTATTTGAAAATTTACTGTTTGGATTTCCCTACTTAATGGTATCCATTGCAGAGGGCATCACCGCGCAGAACGAGCGCCGTGAAGATGGCCCACGTGGTTTGGGCGACTTCCAACGCCGCTTGAACCGCGACCGACCCAATGGCCACCGCAGGCCCTACGATCGAGATCGTGACAGGGATAGACGTGGTTGGGATGCAACGCCGCGTTCAGAGCGCGGGCGCGCTGAAGATGCACCCAGTGTCCGTGTGCCCAATATTGGCTGGGATGCAACGCCCCGTCGGCCGTCTTCACCATCAGCAACTCCTACGCGCAACCGGCGATGGGACGCTCCGACACCTAGAAGAGGATCCCCGCGAGACGAAGAGGGTAGCTTAGTAGGTATGGGTTTGGACGCGCACGAGTGGGAAGAGGAGCAGATTCGGCTTGACAGGGACTGGTACATGGGTGCAGAAGAGGGAGGTGGCGCTGGAGATGAAGAGTTTAATCCTCTTGCTCAATACGAAGATCTTGGTGCAATTAGGGAGGCGGAAGCGGCCAAGAAGCAAGTTAAGAGGATCTCCGCGCGGCAAGCGCAATATGTCAGTGATACAGTCTGCCTCTGGCTGCGCAATATCGCTAATGTAACCCTCGTCAGAACGCGGACAATGACTTGTGGGAAGCTAACCGTATGCTTACGTCTGGTGTTGCCACACGCAGGACAATCGATTTAGATTTCGAGGACGACTCTGAATCGACGGTACATGTAATCGTACATGACCTCAAGCCGCCATTCCTTGATGGACGCACAGTATTTACTCGACAGTTGGAGCCCATCAACCCCGTTCGCGATCCGACGAGCGACATGGCAGTGTTTTCGCGGAAAGGGAGTGCGTTGGTAAAAGAAAAGCGTGAGCAGGCCGAGCGCGCGAAAGCGGCAGCAAAACTTGCTGCTCTTGGCGGTACGTCGCTGGGGAACATCATGGGCGTACAAGACGAGGAGGCGCAGGCCGAGGGTGAGTCACTTTCTTTTGTCTCCTCGTTGATACATCGGAGTGGACATTCACGTAGCCTCTTATGTGCTGTTCTTACTTTTTGGACGATCCTCCAGCGGAGGCCGATGCGAAGGCTAAGGACGGCGAGAAGGAAGACTACAAGGGGGAGTCGAAGTTCGCGACGCATCTCAAGGCTAATGCTGGGGTCAGTGCCTTCGCACGTTCACGCACTCTAAAGGAACAGCGAGAATATTTGCCCGCATTCGCATGCCGGGAAGAGCTTATGAAGGTTATCCGGGACAACCAAGGTACGAATCGATTGTTTATTCTCGATTTTCTCGTTGCCAATAATCTTGACATAGTGATTGTCGTCGTCGGTGAAACTGGTTCCGGTAAAACAACTCAGCTTGCGCAATTCTTGTACGAAGATGGGTACTGCAAATATGGTATCGTTGGATGTACTCAGCCTCGGCGTGTCGCGGCCATGTCTGTTGCTAAACGTGTGAGCGAGGAAATGGAGGTGAATTGTTTCAATCATGCGTTAGGTTACGCTTCGAGCTAAGCCTTCTTTCTTCTTCATAGTGCAAGTTGGGTGGTACTGTGGGCTATGCAATCCGATTCGAAGATTGCACTTCCCCCGAAACAAAGATCAAATGTGAGTATCACTTGGCTACAATGATGACGTGCTCGCCGCTGACGTGTGATTACAGACATGACTGATGGTGTACTTTTACGAGAGTCATTGAACGAAGGCGACTTGGATCGGTATAGCGTCATTATTTTGGACGAGGCGCACGAACGATCTTTAAGTACGGACGTACTCATGGGTCTGCTCCGTAAAAGTTGGTATTCGAGAGATTATATCTGGGATCCAATCTGATATGTAATATTCAGTCTTATCCCGGAGAAGAGATCTCAAGCTTATCGTCACTTCCGCAACAATGAATGCGGAGAAGGTGAGTACGATCCAATGCTTATATAAAGTCCTTGTTCACTTCTATGATGCACAGTTCTCCAATTTTTACGGTAGTGCACCAAATTTCACGATTCCCGGGCGTACATTTCCAGTAGAGATGTTTCACGCCAAATCTCCATGCGAGGACTATGTGGATAGCGCAGTGAAGCAAGTGCTGCAGATTCATCTCTCGCTGCCTCCTGGGGATATTCTCGTATTTATGACTGGACAAGAGGACATCGAAATTACATGTCAAGTCGTTCAAGGTATGCCTGCGATCTGTTGCGGTAGCTGGAGATATTTATTACGCCGATGTAGAACGTCTGTCCCAACTAGACGAACCAGCACCACTTGCTATATTACCTATTTACTCTCAGATGCCGGCAGACCTACAAGCGAAGATCTTCGAGCCGACTGCAGACGGGCGACGCAAAGTTATCGTTGCCACTAACATTGCTGAAACGTCTTTGACTGGTGAGAAATCTACGACTAAGGCTTTTTATAATTTATGCTGAGGTCAGACTTGTAACAGTGGACGGTATTCTATACGTCGTAGACGCAGGTTATTCCAAGCTGAAAGTGTACAATCCGAAAGTTGGAATGGACGCTCTACAGATTACTCCCATCAGTCAGGCCAATGCCAACCAGCGGACTGGACGTGCTGGCCGTACAGGAAGCGGGTGAGTGTTGTGTGGTAATTCATCAATACCTGGGTTTTGATCCGCTTCAGGTTCTGCTATCGATTGTATACCGAGATGGCGTACCGTAACGAGATGTTTCCGAACACGATTCCTGAGATACAACGAACGAATCTTGCAAACACTGTATTACTCCTTAAATCGCTTGGTGTGAAGAACCTTCTTGAGTTTGACTTTATGGATCCGCCACCCCAGGCACGTCATGGACATCTTTGGGTATCTGGTCTAGACTGACGCGTGATATATAGGCGAACATGCTAAACTCGATGTATCAGCTCTGGGTGCTCGGTGCCCTCGACAATGTAGGCGACCTGACGCCGATTGGGCGCAAGATGTCGGAATTCCCGATGGAGCCCTCTATGGCGAAGATGCTTATTGTCTCTGTCGAGTATAAATGCTCCGCAGAGATGCTCACCATTGTATCCATGCTTTCTGTTCCGAGCGTATTTTATCGTCCTAAGGAGCGTATGGAGGAAGCGGATGCTGCGAGGGAGAAGTTCAATGTACCAGAGAGCGATCATTTGACGCTATTGAATGTTTTCGCGCAGTGGAAGAGCCACGGGTACGTGGACTTATCTATAACTTACCACCACTACTCAAAAGGATGCGTTCAGGTTCCGCGATGACTGGGCCCTACGTCATTTCTTGCATCCCAAGCTGCTCAGGAAAGCACGGGAAGTGCGCGCACAGCTGGAAGATATCATGAAGTTCCAGAAGATGGATCTCATCTCTGCAGGGACTGATTTCGATGTCATAAGGTATGCATTCATGTATATCGCATTATGCGTTGTATATACCTGATCTCCGCATCGAATCATAGAAAAGCAATTACTGCTGGTTACTTCCATCAAGCGGCAAGGGTCAAGGGCATTGGAGAGTTCGTGAACATCCGGACGGGTCTACCCACGCATCTTCACCCCACTAGTGCATTGTACGGTCTTGGTTGTGAGTACGTATACGCCAGACTGTAGTCATTACTGATGGCTTTCCAGACACGCCAACCTACGTGATTTATCACGAACTCATCCTCACGTCAAAGGAATACATGACCCAGGTTACATCAGTCGACCCATACTGGCTTGGTATGGCATTGGTAGTGTTATGAGAAGGTTGCGCTTACGTGTTGTTGTTATCTAGCTGAACTGGGATCTGTCTTCTACTCTGTGAAGGAGAAGAACTTTGACGAACGCGGGAACCGTCGTACTGCGGATAAGGAGTTCTCCAAGAAGGCTGAGCTTGAGACTGAGATGGCTAAGCAGCGCGAAGAGTGAGATCTCCACTGAGTTTTGTCCTGCGGACCTCATACTTACGGTGGATTTGTGCAGGACAGCAAAGAAACAAGAAGAAGAGGCTCTCGCGGTGAAGATTGCCAGCGGGTCAAGTTCGAAGATCATCGTCCCCGGTACTCCTCGACATACTGGGGTTGGCGCAGGCGCTCGGGTAACACAAACTCCACGACGCAAGATTGGCATCTAATTAGATCTTCCTTTCTGTGTAATTTACAACTACACACCCATCGCCGGTCTGTGTGTTTGCGCTGTGCATATGCTACAGTAGTGTATTGAATGTCACTCTTCGCATCATCGGCTTGTAAGAAGACTCGCAGACCAGTCATGTCAGTCGGAAAAATAGTTTTGAAATTGCAATGGATTATAATCACACTAAATCAGTTACATAATCGTTTAGCGAATTATGATAAAAGACAATAGGAGCTAATCCAATTAGAATTGAGAAATAATCGATTCGTTTTCAAATATGAATGACTTAGAACTGCATAAACTAGGTTGTGATTGAATCTAAATTACTTTACAACCTCTAGTGTTGTGCCAGTCGCCGACTTGTCGCCATTGGACTAGTCGCAACTCGGTGACTGTGACCTCTATGTGACCGCGGCGGCTGATTAATGAGTACTGAGTCGTGCGTTTGCCCACGCCACGAGCAACTCTCGGTATGTACGGTCGGACTACCAGGTGGCGAAATGCATGAACATAAACTAATCTAACCCGTCCTAGAAAGGAAAGCAGTCCTGGGGTCCTGTTGTGGAGTACAGAAATTCGGAAAACGCGATTCCGCATCTTTCTGCACATTCAGCTCCAACTTGCACCATAGTACTGACATCATCGATAAAATAGGATTATATGTTATGGGTGTAAGCTTGCTCTCCAGAGAAGTGCACAGTCTGGAGTACATAACACTCAAACCAGACCTCACCTTGGATGATTTCAAGGGGGATATTAGGATTTGGAAAGTAAGTATTTTCACAAACACATGTTCTATATGCCTCATGATGTTCACCGATTCTAGGTGGACGATCCCTTCAGCGATGAAGAAACACTGGAGGGCATACTGGAACAAATTGACTACACGCTCGAGCAGGTTGCGACCGAGGTGGAAGTTCCGTCTCTACAAGTACAAAGTCTGTTACCCAGCCCGACCCTAGCCACGACGATCCTAGGAAAAGTTAAAAGTACGAGGAAACGATCACAATTTCCACCGCTTGAGTGCTATTTTTTCTATACCATTAATCATAACACGAAAGTTTCACAACGTATGTATCACCCACTTTGAGTGCATTTGCAATTTTACTTATGTGACCCGACGCAGCCCCGCCTGTTGTAGCTGTGCGAAAGCTCTAGAGCGATTATGCAGATATGTTCGCGCTACTTCAGCTAACAATCCGCGTGCCCGGGAAGTGGACGAAATATGACATTATACTGAATGGGGGAATTTTCTCCTCGGAAAGTCCAGGGAAAATAGAGAAGCTGAATGTTAAAATCCCACATTTCTGTATCAAGTCCCTTTCTGTTCCTTTTCTCCTAATGTTTCTCTGCCTGTTTGTTAGAGCGCGGAACCGGGATCTCTGGAAGAAGTGCTCCAAAACTCCCATAAGCATAAATGTGAAGAGATGCTCTCCCCTTCCAAGAACGATACGCAGGTCATGAAGCGCCGTGAGATCGTGACACTCTTCAATGTCCTTCATTGCTATGTCCCAGACTTGCAGCTGGCGACTCATACATCGTCGTCTTCGAAGGCATGTGACCTAACGATATATTTATTTGGACGTGCACTTGAAGGACGCTGCATTACAATTATTCGAGGCGGTACCTGGATCTGAAGCTCGCAAACGTTGTCATCCCGCCGGAGTATGGGAGACTGACTATCATAGATTTCAGTCATTCGATTCGCGTCAAACGCACTGGTCAAACGGTCACTGGCCTGTTCGGCACGGAGGGGTACATCGCGCCGGAGATGGGTGAGAAATCATATGATCCCATACGAGCTGACTTGTGGTCTTGTAGCAAGGTTGTTGAAGAGTCGTGTGCTTGCTGCAGGTCACCTTCGCCAACACATAAACAATTAGTCGCTATAGCGGGGCGTCTGATGAGCCCCGATCCTCTCCGGCGGCCCACCATGATTGAGGCTGTTCGAATGCTCAAGTATTCTGATACAAAGCCTGCATTTTGTCATCGCATGATCAGCATTTTTAAGTATGTATTATCGTTATTATCCTTGGCAAGCACAAGATGACTGGTCATTCCATTAGATGCATTTGACTGTATGGACATGGACTTACGCACGCTGTATGAAGGGACGCTCTACTTTTAGTAAGTACAATACAAGCGATAGAGTCAAATACCACCACGCGCGACTGAGGGGCGCTCTACTTTTAATATACACGAAAGTAATCTGATTTATGACCTCCACGTTTTTAGAGCGACAGCCATAGACCACCAGCCTCGCCATGTAAATTTGTGCTCCCGCGAGTCTGCGCGAGTAATGCAGGGCCATACACCTTCTGTGGTACACTGATAACAAGTGAGTGTATTACTCGCATCTGCATCAACTTTGTCTACATCTAATCGCGCAAGAACACATGGACGTGGCCTGCTCCCGATGCCACCAATATGCACCTGGATTAGGTGGCACGATCCACGCTACATTGACATCAAGTTCGATGCCAGTCAACCACACTCGTGTTCCTTGGTGTCTAATCTGGGTTCCGAGCTCCTATAGGAGACCAGCTTGATCCAGTTTGCTATTAGGCGCGTGATGCAGGACCACTCATTCCGTGATCGTTGGTTTATCGCCAAACCACTCTACAGAAGGTGTACGGATGGTGCTTGTTGTTGACCCAACTTCCAGCGCCCTAAAGCTCTCGCTTAGAGTCTTCGCGCTTTCTTGTGGCACAGAGCCACTTCCACTATCGCTTGCATTGATTTCATGACCTACGCGACATTCGACTTGTTCGTTCGTCGCATCATATTGGACTGGCTACGACCCCTGTGATGGCCCACCTTGTGGCTGTCGAGAATTTTGTATAAAAAGGTCGAGCCGTGTTCAGTAGACCTCATCGGCAAGCCCATCTACAGTCTCTCCGTGAGTTTCACGAACACTTTGACTTGCTTGTCTTCGACATCACATTCATTTAGGTACACAATATCTTACAATGCAGGCCAACCAGACTCTCGACAACGTTTGCCACTGGGGAGGGCACCATTGCGGTATCGCTTTGGATGACGTATCCGCTGGTGGAGTGAAACGCCACCTCAAAGATTTTCACGTCGCTGAATGGCATGGGTCGGCCGACACATACTGTTTATGGGTGGACAATGGGCTACCTTGCAACAAGCCCCTCAAATTCGATAGTTTGGGGAAGCATATCGCCACGGTGCATATCAGGAGCACTGCAGTGGTGTGTCCTGCTTGTCGTGAGTCATTCACTCGCAACGATGCACTCCTCCGGCACCGCGAGGCCTACTGCAACGGAACGGCGCATTGAGAGTGGGCATTGGGTAGTGTACGTTGAATAATTTCAGCTCTTTATTCAAAGTTGCTAATCTTGAGCTACGTTCTGTTACCAATAGGCACGATTAACAATGCATTGAGATTTGTATATATGTTTATGCTGGCATCGGTGTATGTTCACACTGGACGCTCGTCTCCTGTCGCAGTGGGGTTCGCCCGGGAAGCACTCGAGTGTCTTCCTACTTCAGCGTACAAATTGATCGTTCAATTGACAAG